GTCGAGCAATCAGTAAGTTGCAACATCAGTAGATTCTGTTACAGACGTACTTCCCTTACTACGACGGGCCAGAGAAGTCTAACTCTTGGATCCTGTGCTACTTCCTTTCGCTAGCACATAACCCTGGTTTTCGGACGAATCTTTGGTTCACCAGCTTTGTGCACTACGGCATCCAGAGCGACGCCGAGCGTGTGCCGAGGGGAAACTTGGTCGAACTCTCTTCCTATTACACCGCTTTTTCCTCTTTCTGCCTTCCACAAGGCATTGACTGGCGTTGCCGTCCCCTGGCTGAGAGGGAAGTTTAACGTTACAGAGCGAACAAGAAGAAAGAGTAGAAACTCGATATTATTGAAATTGGGATGAGAACAAGAAAATTGGGATGAGTACCAACAAAAAATTCCTCTCCCTTCACGGTCTTGAGATAAATTTGAAATTGGACCCGTTTATGGTGCTGCTCACTTACACCTTTTTGTCATTCTTAGGTCAGTTGAGTAACCTATAGGTCAACCGACCGAGTGCCATTAGGGAAATCAATGAACTAAATGTGTCTCAATTAAAAGTTAGTGCAGTGTGCACAACACACGTGTCGGTGGCGAGCGGGGCGCTCAGAACGCCGCACACATCGCAAATGACATTGCGGCCTCTGGCGAGCGCCACCGCAACCTGTGCGCAATTATGCCCAGTCGCGGTCCTAATGGCAATGATCACAGACACACAGTGTTTGTCGTCACACCGATTGATGCGGCGACACGGCGGCAATACGGCGGCGACACGGTGGCAACATGGCGCCCGAGGCTGCTGTTCGGAATGTTTCATCTCCGTCTTCGCGAAATTTTCCCTTCATCAAACTATCAAACTACTTCTTTCTTGTCAGTAACAATAAATAAAAGAAAATCATTTGTAGTTCTCCCCTTGCCCCCCTTCCTTCTCCCTACTTCCCTTCAGTTCTCTGTAGAAACCCATCTTTAAAATGTACTGACGAAAGTAGGACGTTAAAGACGTTACCTGCACTTAAGTTTTCGCGGCGTGTTCGCCTAATCCGTCGGTGGTCATGCCTCCACCTAGTTCTACTGCATCCCGCGCTCTCTTTGTGGACGCATTTTTAGCACATGATGCATTTTTTAAAATTTTTCGCGCGGCCTCTTGCGGGGGTTGGGCGCGGCGGTCATTTTCAAAGAAAATATTTGTCACCCGAAATTAGCCCCGTCGGCGGTGCGGGAGCAAGACAGCTAAGTAGTGACCTCTTCGTAAGCCCCCCCCCTCCCCTTTTTAATTGCCTTTTTTCCTCCTGTTGTTTCTCGGGAGGTGGCGTCCGTTTAACATGCTAATGAAGTTCGTATCGTTATCATTCAGTTACAGTCCAAAAGAGCTGCAATCTCCCTCACACACCCCCCTCTCTCCCCTCTGTTTTCTGCTGCGCCGTCTTTTAGCTGACAATTTAGCCGACAGACGAAACGTCGCGCAGACGGCATAAAGCGGAACGTGGCAAATGATGTCGCCTGCCATCCATACCAACCACTTTATATTTTTCTAAAGGCTTGTTTGTCACCACCGCGTTCGTGGCGCTCCATGTTGTCGGTATTGCCCCTCTTTGAACTAACGTCACCTTGCCTACGCTCTACTCATTCGCCTCAGAGGCCCGTTCTCTTCGGCGCTCGGTGGCGCTCTGCACTCGAGATGAACTCGGGTCGTGGTGCTGCAGTTTGGACAAGAACCTACCCGAGTCAGCTGCTGCGGGAAATTTGAAACTAGAGACGCTGGCTAGAGAGGCGGGGGCGAGGCGGTGGCCGGGTCTTGGCTGTGTGCTGTGTGCAGGGCCTGAAGCGGCAGTGGTGGGGTGTTTGGCCTGGCAACCCCGCGTCCTCCTTCCTTGCTCCTGCACGGCTAGGTCTCGGCGTTTCTCGGGTTTTCTTTTGATCAACTATTTCGCACCGCTGCTTGCCTGTTCCTCAGCGAGCCGCTTTTTTCGCAGAAATTTTGATTGATCCGCGTTCAGGTAATTACTAATTGAGACTTTTACACGTCATTTCGGTTCCTCGCGACCTCACTAAATGCGTATAGTTATTACACGCCGAGAATGTCAAACTATCTTTATAAATTAAGTTCATTCGTGTTGATAATGTTTCATTGATGTTGGTCCCTCTTTGTGCTGCTCCACGTGGCTCAAATAAAGGTAGATAGCGCGGCAGTCTAAGAAGGGGACCAACATGAATGAAACAACTGAGGCCCAAAGTCAGGACAATAAGTCCACCGAATCTGGATTTGTGAAAAATTAACAACACTGTGTGCCATAACGGCCATAACTCGTGTTTTGTGATACCTTCGATTTTTTTTCGGTCATGATTACTTTGTATCGCCAATGAACGAATGCCTCCGAGATGTTCCAGAAGGCGTGCGGAACGCGTAGTTACGCGCTTCCATGGTTAGGTGGGCCTCGACCATTAAGTGCAATGTCACGTATTTCGGAAAGACCAAACAACTCTCCGACTGGAGTCTGCCACGCTCAAAAAGATAGTGGTTCGTCTGCCAGGCTCAAAAAGATAGCCGCTTGTGTGTAGGGAGGGTCGATTTTAATGTTATGGCAAAATGTTAAATTGATGTCATTTGACATCATTGTGACGTCAATAAAAGGTCTGATCAGGGACCAGGTTTGATGTAATTTTGCTGTTTAGAAATTTGACCATTTATTGACGTCAAGTTGATAGTTCCGTGTCGTTTGGGATTGCTGTATTGGTGTGAAATCGTGTTACAAATCTTGTGTTTGCACGCCAGCCTCTATCAGTACTTCCGTGCTGGCCGTCCCGTCCAGTCCATGGCCGCAGCGCACATGAGGCCGCGGACTTCGACGAACACGGCCACTACCTCTGGCCGTGGAAGGTTTCGTCCCATAGCAGTGATTCAATATGTCAATCAGACTTGTGGCCCTGGCCCTGCTCACACTCCTGTGCAAGGACGGCATCCACGGCAAAGCTATCAACTCTTTCGCGGTAGGTTAGCAAGTTAAATGTCCACGTGAACTTTGGACTACGTCATCAACACGGTGGTTTTTTTACCGTGACATTGTAAGTTGTACTCTGTGGGTGGCGGTGAGTTTAACATCTCGATTTCGAATCTTTTTTTCGTATAGGGCCCTTACATAGCTTATATTGAGCGCTTTTACATGTGTGAAAACAACGTGGCAATGGCGTGGAGAGTTTATTTTCGGACCAGTCACTTCAACCCACAAAAACCAAGAGAATTACAACGCCTGACCGGTAATGTAACTGGTGTGAATGTAGCCTTGGATGATAGCCTCTGGGTAAGATATTGCTGTAAGATATTCATTTATGCCTATCGTAAAACTAAGAGGATGCTAGTAAAAATGTGGAGGGACGATTGAATGTGTCTTCATTATAACAGTGTAAAGTTTATTTTGATGTTTGGGCACAAAACCAATGGAAGGAAAACGCCTTTGTCTTCAAGTTTCAAGATAAGGCGTGTACAATGTTAAGAGTTCTCACCCCTGACTATTACGAGAAAATTTTAAATCAGAGTGCTAGTGCAGAGAGCGCATGCATAATAAAACCTGTAAGTAGTGAAACCACAACTACTCTTTTTTATCTTTCCCTAGTAATGTATGTAGCTTAAGCTGTTGTGTTACGGCTTCAAACTCACAAGAATATATTATGTAGGTAAAAGCTGTGCATTTATCATTACAGGGAATTTACGTGGCCTATAACACCCCAGTGAAATGGGAATTTCCTAAAATCCCAATCATGCCATATGGACGCTATAAGGCCAAAATATTCTCTGGCAAGGGGAAAAAACAATTGGTATGCCTTTCAGCAGAAATGGTGTTTATTCCGAAAGTCTAGTACTGTAAGGTGCGTGTAACCTGTATTATACGAGTCGGCCACATCTCGTTTTATCCAGTTGAAACCTATACGAAAGTGATCGTCAACACTAAAATTCTTTTCAATAATTGGGAAGCACTTGATTTGCAATTGCAAGGCTTTTCTTCGTAATAACCAGGCATTTTGGTGGTTTGTGAGGGCGCAACTGTATACGTTATGTTATTAGTTATGGGCATAAGAGAGGTTGACAGGTTGCATGTAGGTGATGATGCACGGGCAACAATATATGTTGAGAAATGAAATGAGTTATATGTCGAAAGATTTCTAATACTCCTACATTAATTTTTAAATCTTTAACCCTATTATACGAAATATTAAGCCTCTTTAGCTTATGCTAAGCTTTCCTAGCAAATTCTCAAGATGATGCCTCTAAGTCGTAATTTAAAAGACAGCTAACAATCTGCTGTGAGAGCGCGTATCGTATTTCAAATCAAACCGTATTTGCTGCTGTACTCGTTTCGCAATGTCAATCATCCTACTACGCGTGTGTTCTCGAGAAATATTGCTCTATTGGGGAAACAAAAGTTGGGTGTGCGTGGTCTGATATT